GTACACACGTTAACAACAGAGCATCAAAATACATGAGGCAAAAACCGATAGAATTGAAAGGAGAAATAGATGACTCTAGTATTATAGTTGGAGACTTCCACACCCTTCTATTAGTAATGAGCAGATGTAGCAAGCAGAAAATCAGTAGGGACATAGTTGAGCACCATCAATCAACTGGATACAATTGATATCTATAGAATACTTCATCCAACAACAGTAGGATACACATTCTTCTCAAGCTTACAAGGAACATTCACCAGGATAGAAAGAATAGAAATCATACAATCTATGTTCTCAGACCACAATGGAAGTAAATCAGAAATGAATAACAGAAAGATAGCTGAAAAAAAATCCCCAAATATGAGGAGATTTAAAAACATACTTCTAAATAACACATGAGTCAAAGAGGAGATCTCAGGAGAAATTTTAAAATATTTTGAACTAAATGGAAATACAACATCAAAATTTGTGGGATGCAGCAAAAGCAGTGCTTAGAAAGAAATCTATACCACTGAATGCGTATATTAGAAAAGAAGAAAGATCTAAAATCAATAATTTAAGCATCCACCTTTGGAAACTGGGCAAAGAATACCAAATTAAATCCAAAGTAAGCAGAAGAGAAGAAATAATAAAAAATTAGAGCAGAAACCAATGAAATGAAAACAAGTGATTAACAGAAAAAAATCAGTGAAACCAAAAGTTGCTTCTTTGAAAAGATCAAGAAAATCAGTAAGCCTCTAGCCAGGAGGAAAAAGAAGAGAAAAGACACAAATTACTAATATCAGAAATGAACAAGTGGACATCGCTATAGATCCCAGGGACATTAAAGAGATAATAAAGAAATACTATGAACAACTCTATGCCCGCAGATTTGATAACCTAGATGAAACGGACCGATTCCTTGAAAGACAATACTTGCCAAAATTCACACAAGAAGAAAAAGACAATCTCAGTAAGCCTATATCTATTAAAAAATTGAATCAATAATTAATAACCTTCCAAAACGGAAAGCATCAGGCTCACTTGGACTCACCGGTGAATCTGTGAAACATTTAAGGAAGAAATTGTACCAATTTTCTACAATTTCTTCCAGAATATATAAGCAGAGAGAATACTTCCTAACTCATTCTACAAGGCCAGCATTGCCCTAATACCAAAACCAGACAAAGATATTACAAGAAAGGAAAACTATAGACCAATATCTCTCATGAACATAAATGCAAAAATCCTCACAAAATATTAGCAAATCAAATCCGACAATATATAAAAAGAATTATACGCCATGACCAGGCGGGATTTATTCCAGGTATGTAAGGCTGTTTTAACACCCAAAAATCAATTAATATAATCCATCACATTGACAGGCTACAGAAGAAAAATCACAAGATTATTTCAATAGATGCAGAAAAAGCATTTGGCAGAATCCAACGCCATTTGTGATAAAAACTCTCAGCGAGCTAGAAATAGAGGGGAACTTCCTCAGCTTAATAAAGAACATCTACAAAAAATCTACAGCTAACATCATACTTAATGTGAGAAACTAGAAGCTTTACTGCTAAGCTCAGGAGCAAGGCAAGGATGTCCATTCCCACCACTCCTTTTCAATATTGTACTGCAATTCCTAGCTAACGCAACAAGACAAGAAAAGGAAAAAAAACATGTACAAATTGGGAAGAAAGAAATGAAACTATCTTTGCTTGCAGGTGACTTGATTGTCTATGTAGAAAAACTGACAGAATCGACAAAAGGTACTTCTGGAACTAATAAGCGATTATGGCAAGGTTGCAGGATACAAAGTTAATATATAAAAGTCTATTGCTTTGCATATATCAGCAATGAACAATTGGAATTTGAAATTAACTCAACACCACTTACATGAGCACCCCCAAAATGAAATACTTAGGTGTAAATCTAACAAGGTATGTACAAGATCTATATGACGAAAACTACAAAACTCTGATGAACAAAATCAAAGCACTAAATAAATGAAGAGACATTCTGTGTTCATGGATAGGAAGACTCAATATTGTCAACGTGTCAGTTCTTCCCAACTTGATCTATAGATTCAATGCAATGCCAATCAAAATCCCAGCAGGTCACTTTGTGGATATTGACAAACTGATTCTAAAGTTTATATGAAGAGGCAAAAGACCCAAAATAGCCAACACGATATTGAAGGAGAAGAACAAAGCTGGAGGACTGAAGCTAGCCAACCTCAAGACTTACTATAAAGCTTTGGTAATCAAGACAGTGTGGTATTGGTGAAAGAATAGACAAATAGGTCAATGGAACAGAATAGAGAGTCCAGAAGTAGACCTATACAAACATAGTCAACTGATCCTTGACAAAGGAGCAAAGGCAATACAATGGAGAAAAGATAGTCTTTTCAACAAATAGTGCTGGAACAACTGGACACCCACATGTGAAAAACAAATTCAAATACAGACTTTACATCCTTCACAAAAATTAACTCAAAACACGTCATAGACCTAAATGTAAAATGCAAAACTATAAAATGCCTAGAAAGTAACACAGAAGAATATCTAGACGACCTTGAGTTTGGCAATGACTTTTTAGATACAACACCAAAGGCATGATTCATGAAAGAAATCATTGATAAGTTGGACTTCATTAAAATTAAAAACTTCTGCTCTGCAAAAGACTCTGTCAAGAGAATAAGAAGCCAAGCCACAGACTGGGAGAAAATATTTTCAAAAGACATATTCAATAAAAAGACTGTTATCCAAAATATAAAGAGCTCTTAAAACTCAACAGTAAGAAAACTAACAACCGAATTAGAAATAGGCCAAAGACCTTAACACACACCTCACAGAGGAGATACACAGATGGTAAATAACCACACGAAAAGATGCTCCACGTCATATGTCATTAGAGAAATGCAAGTTAAAACAAGATACCACTACACGTCTATTAGAACGATGAAATTCCTAAACTCTGACAACACCACATGCTGGGGAGGATATAGAGCAACAAGAATTCTCATTCATTGTTTGCGGGAACGCAAATAATAAAGCCACGTTGGAAACAGTTGGGCAGTTTCTTACAAAATGAAACATTCTCTTCCCATATCACTCAGCAATGGAACTCCTTAGTATTTACCCAAATGAGCTGAAAACATGTCCACACAAAAACCTGCACAGAATGTTTATAGCAGCATAGTTTCATTAATTCTGACAAACATACCACTCTGACACTGGATGTTGATAGCGGGGGAGGCTATGTGTGGGGGTGGGGGCAGTGAGTATATGGGAACTCTCTGTATTTTCTGCTCAATTTTGCTGTGAACATAAAACTGCTCTAAAAATTAGTTTGTTTTTAAAAATAGTACAACCATTTTGGAAAACTAATATACATTTACTTGTGTGTGTGTGTGTGTGTGTGTGTGTGTGAAATGGAATTTATTGTGGCTCTGATTATGCGCAGGTGAGATGCGCCTGACTGGCGTATTTACTCTTGAGGCAGCAATTCTATCCTAGGTATTTATCTAAGTAAAATGAAAAAATACGTCCACACAAAGATTCACAAGTATGTTCATGACTGTTCTGTGGAAGGTTACCCCAAACTGGAAGTATTTTAGGAACCCATCAGTCGGAATGAGTAAAGAAACTATGGTATATTCATACCATGGCACATCACTCAGCAATAAAAAAGAATGAACTACCAATATTCACACAATCTGGATGAATCCCAAAAACATTTTGCTGAGTGAAAAAGGCCAGCCACACACACAAATATATGCATATATATTTTAAAAGTATATGTAATATGATTCCATTTATGTAAAGTTCCAAAAAGAACAAATTAATTCGAGGTGGAAAAATCCAACCGTGATGGCTTGGGGCAGTGGGATTACAGGGGAAGGGCACAGAGGGATTTTCTGGAGTAATGGCGATGTTCTAGAACTTGATAATGTGTGGGATCTAGAAGTGTACGAATTTGTCAAAATTGATTGAACTCTACACTTAAGATCTGTGCATTTCACTGTATGTAAATTATACTGCAATATACAAATTTTTTTTAAAAAGAGAGACTATTTCACTTTTCAAGTTTCTATAGTGGAGATGGGAAAGAAAGCAGGAAATTGGGAATGGAATCTAGATTAACCAATCAACAGTCTCTGCCACAGGGGCCAAACTTGCCAGCTACATCCAGTGTTCTTGTGTGCCTATTTGGAAAAATCCAGGCTGTTTCCCGGAAGTGCCTGAGAAAAGGGCAGCGCAAAATCGGCAGTTAAATTTATCGGATCCCTCTGAGGCCTCCTGTGCAACGTTAGTTCCACAGACTTGTGCCAGAGTATCGATGATTCATCACTAATCTCAACCCTAGGCTTCAAGTGAGATTATAAAGGATTAACAGATGGAAATAGCCACTAAATGCCGAGAAATCTCAGAGGAGACTGTCTGAGGCGTGTTCGCTCTCTAGGATATTTGTGCTCTAAGAGTCAGATGATTTCGAGATGAATTTTTTGGGTAGGAATTCCTCCAAATCATCCTGAATTTGGAGGATTTTACCCAGTACATTCATAATAACCAGGTATTTCCCCTTTACTGAAATAAAGGAGGTTTAACCAGAAGGCAGATGTAGTAAGACATCACTCCTTAAGGCTGTATCTCATCCAATCACTTATATTATTTAAGTCCGGTAATTGGGGTATCATCAGAGGGTTGTTGGAGTATTTTTACCCAACTCCCTTTTTTTTTTTTTTTTTTAGTGACGCAGTGTAGTGAAGTGGTAGGTAGATGATGAGGAAGTAGAAACTGGAAACTCAAAGTGGAGGCAGGAATAAGAAGGGAGGCAGGGACGCAAGTGGAGAGAAAAAGAAACCATGCCACTGGTGATTCGTCTTGGAGATTTTATCGACTCTTCTGGAGACCCGGCTTGGCTCTCTTCAATCCCCATTCTTATGGAGGACCTAGGACACATGTCGGAAGGAGGGTCTGGCCCCTGTCCTCTCATCCATGCCCTTTGCCTTGCTCATCCCCAGCCTGATCTACACCAGCCCTGCTGTTCAGCTCACTCTCTTCCCATCCTCACAGCTTCTCTAAAGCACCTACAACATCACTTCTTGCCTCAAACTATCAAACTGCCTCACTCATGAGATACACTTTGCTCCTCCTCCTCCAACTAGTTTCCCCACATTGATTAGGAAAGCCAAGGATTGTCTCCTTCTTCCAAATATACCCTCCAGTCCCCAGCCCAATTATGCACTTATCAGTTACTTAAACATTCAAGTGCACCTACCTACCCAATAGTGCTGTGTACGGGGTGAGTCAAAAAGAGATGAACACTTTCAAAAATGTATTACTCAGTAACTAGGTTTTATAGGAACGTGTACCCAAATCAATAGAAAGGAACTATCAGAGTTTTTCTATAATTGTACAAATGCTCAATTTGTGTCCCTCAAGGCACATGACATCTGTTAATCCTGTAGACTAATAACTGCACCCCAACTCATCTCAGACCCTTCGTTCATACCACTTTTGGTGGTTGAAATGGCAGCCCCAATGCATTTCTTCATCTCCTTCAGGCTATGAGGAAGAGGTGGGACAAATATGAGGTTCTTGACTTATCCCCACATGGAGTGACGTCTGGGGATTTGGGACCACAGTTCCAGAGGCAGGTCAGTGCTTTGAACCCAGCATCTTGCTGGGCACTGTGGGAGGTGTTCTTTCAATGACCTCTGGACCCCACAATCAACCTGAGGTAGAGCTCCATCCCGCTAGGAAATGGGGCAGTCAGAAACTTCCTGCCATCGTGGATAAAGCCACTCAGGTATCGCATCCAGATATGCGACCCAACCACTGTGTTCTATGCAAAAAATGAGTGCACCGTGTGCATGAAAATTGAGAAATACAAGGGAAGCTACAGTTTCGTGCATACCACATGTTCATAAACAGCCTAGTTACTAAGTCATACAATTTTGAAAGTTTCAAGACTTTCTGAACCACTCTGTACATCACAGAAGGCTGCACTTTCCACTCCAACTCTGGTGCTATTGTCTACATTGTTTACACGTGTGGTTGCATGTGTTTCTCTTTCAATGGGCGCTCCCTAGGGACGGGACTGGGTCAGTGGGATTCCCTCTGAACAGCATCATCCTGCGCTGGGACTTGCAGGATTAGGCATCAAGTCTGAAGCTTTTGACGGATGATGACAATAGCCTATCCCTCGTTCTCATCTGCCAGCCCCACCCAGGGAGGCAGAAAGACAAGGCAGATCCTCGTGAGGCAGACTTTCCACGGACTCAGGCTTCAGGGGTTCCCTCCTGCCTTCCCCCATGCTGGGAAAAATACGAGAAGTACAGGTGAAGCCCTGGGCTCTAGAACAAATGCCTTCCTCCTTCAGTGGCAATCAGAGATGGCACTGGACGAGATGGAGACTCTCTTGGCAAGGAGTAGAGGCTGCATTCAGCGGCCCGCTGGGGAGGAGGCCAGCTGTCATTGGTGTTACTCAGACTGCTTGCTTCAGTTTCTCTCACATAGTTGCCTGATCTATCATCCTTTGTTCTAATCTTATTATGAAGGTCTGGCTTTCTCCACCTTGCTCCTCTGGGAAAATGTAACTCCTCTGGGCTCCACCCTGGGGCATGATTTGGGATCATTGGGGAAATTTCATCTGAGAAGTCAATCCTCTAACCATCCAGTGTGTCCTCACTGCCTATGAACACAGCTCTCTCCTGGGTGCCACAGCAGGGGTAGAGGGCAGAGGTCTGGACTCCAGAGGAGGAGAGAAGGACAGCTAGCCCAAGGCGGCAGTCTGCAGTGGGTTAGGGAACACTAGGCGCCTCCCTGCACCCAGATGAAGAAAGACATGAGTGTCAAGGGCATGAGTCAGGAACCAGAAATTCACCTGCCTTGGGGCCCTCCTCTCTAAGCCCCTCCACTTGTTAGGAGCCCTCTCAGCTGACCTCACTCATGGTCAGGGTCACTGGAAGTGGCTCCCAGGGCGTCCTTCCCTGGCAGATGGTGTCGAGAATCTAGAGAAAAAGAAAAAATATATATCTTTATATATATTAGAGAGTCTATATACATATATATGAGAATGTATATATAGTATATTAGAGAATGCTATATTATATATGTATATATATTGGAGAATGTATATATTTATATATAAAATATTAGAGAATTATATATTATGTATATATAATATATTAGAGAATGTCTTATAAATCTGCCAGTAGGAAAAATACTTGTGGCAAGAAATTAAACGTGATACAGTATATTGCTGGTGCTATCCGGTGCACATGGCAAGCTTGGGACTGAATAAGATGTTGAAATTAAACCGTCCTCTGACAGGCTAAATGTTGAATGTGAGGTTCCTGCTGCAATTCAATTACATGCTTCATTCAGCGATGAGTCTGCTCCCACCCCGGAAAAGATATAAAGTCGGTACTGAAAGGGGTACTGATCGGGTCACCAACGCTGGTTGATAGAAGCCTGCCCCCCAGTGTGCACAGGCCAGAGGACAGACAAGGACCCAGCAGAGGGTCATACAGTGGAGTCTGGCTCCACAGGAGGGAGAGAACAGCTTGCTGGGCTCTCTCCGAGGACTCAGATCCTCCCTCCCTCCGACTACTGTTTCCTTCCAGCCACTTAGGCAAGGAGCTGCATCTGCCAGGAGCATTGCTCCTCCCTGTCCTGCCGCTCTGAGTGCCAGCAAGGTTGCACATCATATTTCTGATGCTGTTGCTCTTTTGCCTGCCGTGGCTCCACATGGTCTCTGGGAGCAAGGGCAAGCCCTACGTGTGGCTTCTAGGTCCTTACTAATGTGGCACAAACCTGCAGTGTTGAGATCATTTCTTTCACCCTGCCACCCCCCGCCACACACACACACAAGCTGCACCTGTGTTCCAATTTTTGGAGCTTCTTGTGGATCCATGAACACACCAAGCTTCTTCATACTTCCACTATAATAATGATATTAGCTCATCTTCATTGAGAACTTGTGAACAGGAACAGTGCTCAGGCTTTTGCATTAATTATTTCATGTAACCCTCACAACACTGTGTGGTAGGTACTATTTTTACCCCCAGGTTATAGCTGTAAAAATGAATAATTTGCATAAATTTTTATGTCCCAAATCAGACGTATGGGAGCCTGGTTATCAGCCTGGGCACTGTCTCCAGAGCCCATGCTCTTAACTCTTTCTTTAAAGGGCCAAATAGTAAATGTTTTAGGCTTTGTGAGCCATACACTCTGTTGCAACTGCTCAGCTCCACCACTGTAGTACGAAAGCAGCCGTAGACATTGGACACTGACATAGACATAGAACACTGACATAGACATTGGATACTGACATAGACATAGGACATTGACATAGACACTGGACATTGACATAGACAGAGGACATTGGGCAAATGCATGCTGCTCCCACCTGACTTGCCAACACTTCCTACCCTCCTGGCATCATCCATGCTAAGTCTAAAGCCTCTATCCCAAGAGAGCAGAGTGGGTGAGAACACCCTGCCATGGGCAGAAGAGCTTCTTTCCCAGAACAGGGTGGAAACACATTTTCTTCGTTATTGTGGTTATTGTGCAACCAGAGTGGAGGGAGGGGATCTTGTCTTGAGAAGGTATCTCTCTCCTGCCAGACGCTGAGTTAGCACTTCCTTTGGGCAAGGAATGCCCTGCCCTCCTGGACGCTGCACCCCCTAAATTGTTGGAGAGATGGGACTGCTTATAAAATAACAACAAGAGCTTCCCTCAGGCTCATTGCAATGAGGGGTTTGTCTTCCCTCCTCTGGCACCCATTTCCCCAAATGTTCTCATAGAACAACATGCCTACGATTGTTTTCAATGCTCCTCACGCTGAGTACTTAACGTATGGACCGGAAAAAATGAACCTCATTCCCCTGTAAACCAAACGCCACGCTCACTTGACAGCCTTCCCTCCCTCTAAGAAGGAGTGTAGGGATTTGAGATTTCAAGTGCCAAGATTAGAAATATAAATTTGGAATTTACTTGTGACATCATCATACTTGTAAGGGCACATTTCTATGATTCACTGCTTCTGCATACCCCTCAACTTTCTATACACACCCCATTAAGATGTGTGATTCTCGATTCTTAAGAAATGTCAAAATCTGTGGGAATCAAAATTCAGTGAATTCCTTAATGGTTTTGTCCTCTTTATTTTAGAGTCTTTAAGTTAAGCTCTAAGTGAATATTCCTAAAGAGTAGCAAAAAAGGTGTCTATGAATTCCACTTGGAAAGAAAAATTTACATGACCATCTGCTCAATGGGAAAGCAAATCCAGGGAGGGAGGTGCAGGCATAGATGGAAACCATGTGCAGAAGTCAGGTCTCCGGGCAGAGAGGCCTTGGTGATGTCTCCTGTCCTCTCAGGAAACTGACAATTGAGCAGGTTATCACACAGGACAAAGAGTATATGTGGCTCTTACACGGTAAAAGCACAACTCCGTCGTCACTCTTGCCTTTCAAAGGAGGGCTATGTCTCCAAAGGAGCCCCCATTCCCATGGCCAGGCCACCAGGAAGGACAGCCAGAGGCTCCTGAAGGACAGGTTCAAACATGGTGGAAACAACAGAGCAGGCCACTTCTTGCTCAGCCCATTGGGCAAATGCGTATAAGCCCTGAAGACACTCCCACCCTGATGGAAAGGGTGGTGCTGGTGGAAGAGAAAACCTGTGTGGGAAGGGGGCACACAGAGGAGTGTCTGAGTAAGCAGAAAGAAGGGGCAATTATTGCAGATCAGTTCCTAGTCTCCTTTGTTTGAGAACATGACTAACTCCTGACTTCAGTGAATTCATATCCAGCCTCATTGTGTTGGGATCAAGTCAAGGCTGGAAGGCAAGAGAATTTCTCCATGACTACAGGAAGCCAAAGAAGCAATCTTCATGTTTCATACCTATCTAGAGGCTGGGGTGATCTCACTATTTGTAAAGCCCAACCCATCCCAATCTGCAAGCTCACCTTCCAGGAGGGAGCCCAGCCCATTTTCACTATATATAAACGGCTGCCGAGCAGCTC